CTTTTAAAACCATGTAATCTTTCTCACCATATGGCTGCTGGTTGTAAAGAAAGGGGGGAGAGACATTATCTGTCAATGAGGGCATTTGGATCAACAATAATTTACAATTCATGAATGTTTTAGAGTCAAATACTGTACAGTACTGTAATACTATGTATTAAAATAAGTAAATTTAATGCTGTATTATACAGTATTTCTTAATAATGCCACTTTCAGATTTACAAAAACAAATCATGGGAAGCATTAAACCAGTTCAATTAAATTACTACCAATATTTTGCTGGACAATTATTTCAACATTGACAAAGACATCATTACCACCAAGTATGTTAGTGATGAAATTTTGGAAATCTTAAGTAACCAAACTCACCAAACAATCCAAGATGAAAAAAATGATGATAGTGAAGAACCCATAAAAACCAACAAATGATGAGATAAAAGGATTTCAAATTATTCATAATGAACTGCAACATTACAAAGATGTGCCCAGAGAAATTTTTAATGCTCTTAATAAATATGAAGAGAACATTTTTTAACTGTTCTGTGCAACAAATCACAAATTATTTTATGAAAAATGTAGTAAAANTATCATGTCTTTGGTTTTAAAGTTGTTAACCATCTGTCTCTAGTTGGAATATTAAAAAAGGATTTTAAACTGACCTATAATTATTTGTATTGTCAAAAATTTGATTTAATCAAAAATTTATTCTTAGAACTTTGTTATTCATGAAGATATATGTTACTAATATAGAACAACATGGATCAATAATGCATAGACTGCTGTTTTAAACAACTCAGACATCTTATTCTGTAAGGATTTAAAGAATGAACTTAAAGTAAAACACTCTGAAGTGGCAAGGAGTGTGTTTATGCTTAATTTTCATTGTGAATGGGCTTTTATTCCTGTACAGTTAATCTAACAATATTTACACCATTGTTTTAATTGTTAAAGGAACCAAAGAGATATTTAAAGAATAAGATACTGTATTTAAATTAATAATGTTCATGCATATTCAAATTTGAATTAACTTTTATATACACACATGTATATATTGTATTTATATACTGAATAGGAAAAATTTTTTTAAATTAATTTTATTTTAATTTGCAGATTATATTTTGTGGTAGTGCTAAAATATAACTTTGAAGAAAGCATCTGTTCAACTTCCAACCATTACTCTAATGCCAGGACTGCATAGCCTAGAAGCTCAAGCCCTATCAGCTCATAACCAAAAGGCACCTGTTATCTATTGAGTGACTTTATTTGAATAAAAATAAATACTGTAGATATCAAATATTTTTTAGATTTTTTTACTCATCAACTATATGAAACTGTCATGAAACATCAGTAGACTCATGGATTAGATTATGAATTTACTTTCAAATCAGCATTGACAGGAACAGCCGAATATCTATAATATGCAGGCAGCTAACAGTACTGTGAGGCTGGGACCACACACTCCCCTTGGACGGAAACCAGCTGTCGAGCTAAGTCAATATATCGGTGACTTATTACGTAAATAGGACCGGTGTGACCAAGGAACGGGGTGCGAGATGATTTAATTGTCGCATTCCAGATCTAATTGACAGATCTGCAATCGTCAATCGTGAGAACGAGTGAGGGATCGACCATTGGGGAAACTTTGGACGGTCACCTTAGAGAGTTCAAAGCAGATCCTGCTGACACTCCTGTGGAGGGGACGGCGGCTGAGACAGCTTCCTCCTCTCCAGGACAGAAAAACAGACATTAGGTAAAATTTACAGGTCCGTCATCCGGGAAAGGGCTTGACCCGACTTCGGAGGGGAACGACCCGGACGGGGATATTCGGCGACCCTGTGGCCCGAATTGCGTCCCTGGCAACAGACCAGGGACCAATAGAATCACAGGGGACCAACATTCGGACCAACCAAAATCTTGGGATTTTGGGAAGACGAATGTTATAAAAGCCCGAGATCCCAAGGACACGGAGAGGTTGAGATTGAGAACACCAGTCCCAGAGAACCAGACCAGGATCATCAGAAGGACCCACATCTCGGAAACCTAGGACAGAAGGGACTAGGGACCCAATTTCCCAATGACAACTCTCCATCCCGCAACCTCCACGACTATAGCAGAGACAAACCTTGTCCTCCTGTTGTTTTTGTTTTGTGTGTGTGTGTGTGTGTGTGTGTGTGTGTGTGTGTGTGTGTCAGTCAAAATAAATCAACGGAATACAAACTATCCGACGAACTCCTCTTCAGTGACGGACTTTTGACCAGACGTTGGTGTAACTCATTGTAAGCATGATTTTTCATACAAATAAACGCGTTGAATTGGTAAATACGGTCTCTGTGTGAGTCATCTTTGCTTGCAGCAAACCACTACCCCCATACGGAAAAGGCTTTAGTGTAATTCTGACAGATCACGGGCAAAGTGAGGGTTGTAACCTTTCACCTTAAGGTCGACCTCCGTGCGAGTTTAGGTTCGAGTACACCGCATCCTTACAAACGGGGACAATCCTCACAGTGCTGTCTCCCCAAGGGTGCCGTCCTTACAGTACAAAACCAGCCCTGAATGCAAATAGCAGATTGAGATGTGTAGGGTCTAGGCAACTTGCTACTTTTTGGGCCACTTTAAAAATAATGTGGGCTACATTGAGGAATTCTGCTTTACTTTTTATGAAATCTATCTCGTGACCTGTGAGCACATGCTGTTTACCTGCAGTTTATATTATTATTAATGAAAATAGCATTCTGTATAAGTAGCCATATTCCATTTGCTTAATAAATTTCATCAATTACATAGAATTTGGCATATTATACAGAAATATGTAAATCTTGGATAATTTGAAATTTGATAATTTTAAGTCGTGAATATTTTTTGTTTCCTGAATTTTACACATATACACACACTTTATTGAGCAAGATTTAGTTATTTATTTCAAATTTTATTAAAATTTAATAAGATGCTCAATGACTATTTCCAATTAATTTAATACAGTAGACCCCCTATAACATGGGGTTCATATAAGACGGATTTGTATAACATGGTGGAAAAATTGCAATTGTGTTCATATAACACGTTAAAAGAATGAGACAGATTGTCATGGCTGACTCGTGTCTCGACAGGATTGGTCAAATCTGGACCAATAGTGGGCATTGCACAAACCATTGAGTTTAAACGTGCAGTAGACCTAAAAAACATTTATTATTCAACGGCCATAAAAATTATATTTCTATTAATGAGGTCTCCAAAGTTCAGCGAATTTTCGCAGAAAGAATAACTTATCAGGAAACACTTGACCGCCATCCGATGAGCTGCTCCGCGACGAAAACAAGCTTAAGCAAAGGCATCTTCAAACAGTGTGCACTCGTTAAGTATTCCTACAATTTTTCATTTATAGCATAGTTTATATGGATTATTCCGAAAAAATTATACATGTTTTGGAAATGTTTGAGTCAAATTAGCCTAGAATCAATTAATTTTATGGAAGAAAGCCTTTCAAACAGCCGTAGTCTGTAAACTGCACAATGCTGGGCTGTGAACGGCTCACATATTTGTAAAATCTAAGTGACTCGTATAACACGGAACGTATCTATCGTGTTATAGGGGGTCTACCGTAAAATGTTGTTAATAGCTAAAAATTAAAAAACTTATCCTAAAGTTGATTAGTTAACTGAATAAACAAAAAAACAGTTTTTAAATTCAAATAATTCAGAATTATTTAATTATTAATTAGCTTTTATGTAAGTTTATAATTTACAATTATTAAAGCTACATACTAATACAACCATTCAACAATTTTCTGATCACCTGAAATATAACACAGTACAACAGCTATAAACAACAAACTGAAGAGGAATATGCTAGGACTAATTTATCTTAAAAATAACTGATTTCAATTCAATTGTAGAATATTTCCAGATAATAATTAAGTTTAAAATTAAAGACAGTCTGTTGAAAAAAAATTCACCATTTATTCACTTTCAATGTTTCAAAATACAATTTTTTGACAAATCAACCTTTATAGGCTACTTGGCCACAAAAATTAAAAACTTTCCTTTAAAAACAATGAAAAATATCCAAATAAAAACAAAAGTTTTAAAATTAGAACTGGTAGCACCACAGATGTCTTCTTTCATTTTCCATCCTTACCACTTGAAAAAGCTGTACAAACTGAAGAGGTTTATAACCCCTAGAAGCAAATGCTGGCAATAGTTTCAGTTGCAACAATAAATCTTTGTAGAATAATTTCAATTCAATTGTAGAATATTGCTGAATTGAAAACTAAATATCCAGTACAAACTTTAAGGTGAGGATAAAATTTTTCAGCTTTTTGTACAAAACATTTTTAAAATTCTTTTAATTTTTAAGGAAATTTTCTTAAAGATGAAATTTTTATGATTGTGTCATTCTATGGATACAAAATTACATTACTTGATCATAGCAATTTTCTGAGTATTTCCTTGTACATAATTTGATAATTATGTCTCAATCCGAGATATGTCAGGAAGACCATGAGACAGGTTAAAACTAACTAGGTGAATGCAGATAATTTGTTATATACCAGAAATACTCTTAAGTTTACCAGAAATTATCCTATCTGCATTACCTAGTTAGTTTAATATGCAAATTTGAACTAATAGTTCTACTAGCATAAGATACATAGCTTGATCATAAAATTATATCCACAGAATATGATCATAATATTTTGTTCATAAGATGAGAGAAAAAATATTTTTGTACATGAAATAAAAATCCAACAAGTTCAATGTTTATGAAAATAAATACAATCAATCAAAATTATCTAAAAAATTTTATTCCTAGTACATTTCTCATCAATTTTGTTGTTTATAGATGTTGTGCTATGTCATGTTCCAGGTGATCAGAAAATTATGTCAAGGGTTTGTATAAGCTTATAAACTATTATACATGCACATGCAAAATTGTGCCATAAATATACATTAGTAATTCACATTCTGCTTAAAAGTTGAAAAAATTTAAAGAAAATTTAATCTTACTGTCAGTAAATCTATATGAGACTGATGAGTTCTTAAATCAGGTTTCAATCCAATAATACTTTCCAAGCAGTTAGGATCAGAATATAGAAAATGAGGGTAGGACAACAAAACAGGTATTGCTAAAAATAAATATTTAATATTGTATTAGATTTCAATTTATATGTAAATACTGACAATTTCATTTATTAGTGTAAAATAGTTCAAGTAATTTTATTTATCTCGCAGATATGTGGATTGTTAAAAAAAATTGAAATAAGTTTTTTTTTAATAAGGGCCTCCTGCTCCTTTGTTAAACTACCGTGTTTCCCCGAAAATAAGACATCCGCAGAAAATAAGACCTAGCACAGATTTTGCTGAAATGCGAAATATAAGACCTCCCCTTGAAAGTAAGACCTAGCGAAGTTTTTATCAGTCGTAACGGTCATCGACAGATGGTTGAAAGTGGCCGTTGGCTTTTTGAAAGTACAGCTAACTGATTGGTCAGCAGACAATTACGCCACACGGCATGATTTGCATAAGACTATGGCTTGGGAATCACAGATTTGCATAACGTTACGGCTGGTGATGGCTAATTGGTCGGCCGGGAATCACGCCTCATACATTTGCATAGTGCTACGGTTCAGTAAGCACTAATTGGTCATCGAGTC